GACCAATCCTGGAGTATGCGGCCCCAGCATGGAGCTCGTACCTTGTCAAGCACAAGACGAAGCTGGAAAAAGTCCAAAGGTATGCCACTAGACTAGTCCCAGAACTAAAAGGCTTGAGTTACGAGGAAAGGCTGCGGGAAATGCAACTTACGACACTGGAAGACAGAAGTGTAAGGGGAAACATGATCACAACCTACAAAATCCTCAGGGGAATCGACCGGGTAAACAAGGATAAACTATTCAACACTGGTGGTACGCGAACAAGGGGACAAAGGTGGAAACTGAGTACCCACATGAGCCACAGGGACGTTAGAAGGAACTTTTCAGTGTCAGAGTAGTTAATGGATGGAATGCATTAGGCAGTGATGTGGTGGAGGCTGACTCCATACACAGTTTCAAATGTAGATATGATAAAGCCCGGAAGGCTCAGGAATCTGTTCACCAGTTGATTGACAGTTGATAGGCGGGACCAAAGAGCCAAAGCTCAACCCCCTGCAAGCACAAATAGGTGAATACAAATAAGTGAGTACACACACACACACATTCCTCACACTATCGATGATGCAAAAATTATGAGGATTAAGACAAATAAAGATAGTATGAGGCTACAAGATAACCTAAACAAACTGAATGAATGCTCCAACAAGTGACTATTAAAGCTTAACCCGAGTAAATGTAAGATAATGAAACTAGGTGGTGGAAACAGGAGGCCAGACACAGGATACAGAATGGGAGATGAAGTCCTTCATGAAACGGACAGAGAGAAAGATCTAGGAGTTCATATCACGCCAAACCTGTCTCCTGAAGCCCATATAAATAGAATAACATTGGCGGTGTATGAGAGGCTGGCTAGCATCAGAACTGTCCTCAGGAACATGTGTAAGGAATCATTCAGTACCTTGAATACCACATATGTATGGAGTATGCGGCCCTAGAATTGAGCCCATTCCTTGTCAAGCATAAGACTCAGCTGGAAAATGTTCAGAGGTATGCAACTAAGCTAGTCCCAGAACAAAGAGGCATGAGTTACGAGGAAAGGCTGTGTAAAATGCACTTCATGTTGCTGGAAGACAGGAGAGCTCGGGGAGACATGATCACTACCTTCAAAATTCTAAGAGAAATCGACTGGTTAGATAAATTGTTTAACACGAGTAGTACGCGAACAAGGAGACACAGGTGTAAACTGAGTAGACAAATGTGCTACAGGGATGTAGAAAGAACTTTTTCAGTGTCAGAGTAGCTAACAGATGGAATTCTTTAGGCAGTGATGTGGTGGAGGCTAACTCCATACACAGTTTCAAATGTAGATATGATAGAGCCCAGTAGGCTTAGGAATCTGTACACCAGTTTATTGATAGTTGAGAGGTAAACCAAAGGGCCCGGGCACAACCCCCGCGAACACAACTAAGTGAGTATAACTAGGTGAGTACACGCACACACGTGTGCGTGTGTGCTGATATACGTAATGATCTCTGAAATATGTGTCTGATATATGTAAATGATTTCTGAGAGGGCATAGATTCATTCCTCTCAATATTTGTTGTCGAGGACAAAATTATGAGAAGGATTAAGACAGAGGAGGACAGCTTGAGGCTTCAAGAAGACCTGGACAAGCTGCAGAAATGGCCGAACAAATGGTTGTTAGAGCTTAACCCAAGCAAATGCAATGTAATGAAGATAGGTGTAGGGAGCAGGAGACCAGATACAAAGTATCATTTGGGAGATGAAATACTTCAAGAGTCTGAGAGAAAGACCTGGGATTGATTTCACGCCAGATCTGTCTCCTGAAGCTATATCATGAGGATAACACCAGCGGCATATGCCAGGTTGGCTAACATAAGAACGGCCTTCAGAAGTTTGTGTAAGGAATCTATCAGAACTTTGAATACCACATATGCGGCTCCAGCATGGAGTCCATATCTAGTCAAGCATAAGACTAAACTCATAAAGGTTCAAAAGTTTGCCACCTGTCTAGTACCCGAACTGAGGGGTATGTGCTACGAGGAGAGACTACGAGAATTAAACCTCACGTCACTGGGAGACAGAAGAGCTAGAGGGGACATGATCACTACATACAAGATTCTCCGAGGATTTGATATTGTACATAAAGACAGGTTATTTACGACATGGGGCACACGCAGTAAGGGACACTGGTGGAAATTGAGTGCCCAAATGAGCCATAGAGAGGTTAGAAAGAATTTTTTCAGTGTCAGATTAGTAGACAAATGGAAGGCATTAGGATGTGATGTGGTGGAGGCTGACTCCATGCACAGCTTCAAGGGTGGATATGATAGAGCCCAGTAGGCTCAGGAACCTGTACATTCGTTGATTGACAGTTGAGAGGCGGGACGAAAGAGCCAGAGCTCAACTTCCGCAAGCACAACTAAGTACGTACACACACACTCACACGTGTCTCAGTTGTGTGTTTCACATTCTTAAGGATCAATCGGAAGGTTTGCGGATTGTATTCAAATATAAACTGTCATTTATAAATATGTTTAAACATAGAAAGTTTCGGAGTATGTCATTGGTATGAGAGTCTGACAGCTGTGAAGTGGATGAACAGTTGAGTGTGTGAGAGAGACGAGGAGATGGATTGTCAAGGTTCATGTGAATCATGCGTGGTGCTTAGCATCTTATCTCCTGTTGTACGAGTATATTAAGCTCTTGTGTAGCTTGTATTCACAGGGTTATATTTGTAATTTTATGATTTAAAGATAAATATTTGGTTCTGAGATTAGTGGTTCAGTGACATACAATCAGCTCTTTAAATATAATGTTTATATTACGTTTAAGTGCGATGTGTGGAGTTTTCTTTGTTTAAAGTAGGGTTGTTACAATATTAAGTTCACACATACAGAGATTATTTCTTAAATTTTTTAAGCAACTCAGATGTCTCTTATCTGTGTCGAGCAGAGATGATGTCTCTTCAGTGTGTCGAGCAGAGATGTCTCTTTACTGTGTCGAACAGAGATGTCTCTACACTGTGTTAAGCAGAGATATCGTCTCTTCAGAGTGTCGAGCCGAGTTGTCGTCTCTTCAGTGTGTCGAGCAGAGATGTCTCTTCACTGCATCGAGCAGAGATGTCATCTCTTCAGTGTGACAAGTAGGGATGTCGTCTCTTAAAAGACGATATTTTGTTTTTCGCACGTCTCTTCATTTTCAGATGTGTTGTTTGGGTGTAAATTTGTCTTCCCCGTTATTATGACATACTACCTGCCGTATATTCATGTTTCTATATTTAAAACTAATAGATTCCTACAATTAGGTAAATGTTCATCATAAATGTACAATTATTTGGATAGCTTTTGTATTGCCTGTTCTTTACTACACAGAGGAACAGGTGTAAGTAAACACTTACAGGGACAGAAGAGTTAGAGGGGACATGATCACCACATACAAGACTCTCAGAGGAATTGATAGGGTAGATAAAGAAAGAATTTTTAACACAAGGGGCACACGCACTTAGGGACACAGGTGGAAATTGAGTGCCCAAATGATCCATAGAGACGTTAGAAAGAATTTTTTCAGTGTCAGAGTAGTAGACAAATGGAATGCATTAGGAAGAGATGTGGTGGAGGCTGACTCCATACACAGCTTCAAGTGTAGATTTGATAGAGCCCAGTAGACTAAGGAACCTGTATACCTGTTGATTGACGGGACCAAAGAGCCAGAGCTCAACCCCCGCAAGCACAATTAGGTAAGTACTTGTTATAGCTGTTCCGTAATTGTTGTTCTCCGGGATGTTTTTCTGCATCTACACAATACCATACACTAATTCTTGCGAATATTAAGAAAAATTCTGTTGGCTACAAACCATGCGTGAAGCTTGTTTAATTCTGCATTTAACGTGTTATTAAAGATGTCATAGTCTTCATCTGTGATATATAACTGTGTCGCCAGAAAAATATTCGTGTTGTTTTACCAGTGATAAGATTTTGCAAATATAATATTTATTTAGCAGGATAGAAATCGGCACTAGAATCGACTGTTAGGAGCTTCAGCGTTACAGATTATCGTGTTTGAAATCTCGTTACTGAGAGATACCAAAAATTTTGTGTCCTTTATGGAGCAGTCAAAATTATCTAAGAATCTGGTTTTAGTACCAGTTTTATCTTAGGAAGTAATATTCAATGGCAGAACCAATTAGATGTTCCGCTCAATTCCAGAAAGATATCTGTGTGACTTCTGTGTGTTCTAAACTATTTTCAGCACTCTTGCACAACTTAATCTGTATTAACTATCGCAGTTTGGCCGATAAAAGTATGTAAATAGGTTAAATATATGCAAATCACCAGGATCCTTGAACTTTCCACCAGACTCCCAATAGAGCCTTAGCGCCAACTACCTCTTGCACGTACGGTAATATTTAACACGTCACATGAAGAAGGCAAGGTGCCAAGTGAGGAAAACTAGCAAATGTTACGTTAAAACTGTCTTCCAAGGAGAATTATATTGTGGTAAGTACAAAAATAGTTATTAATACGAGATGTAAAATTTATAGATGATACAAAATGAGACAGAGATATAGAGAACATTGCAAACTTCATGCTAACGCCCCTCTCAGTGATAATGATTATTTCCATTATTGTTGTTTTCTCATGTTTTCTATTGCTAACAGTAATACTGATGATGGCTCATGAAGGCCCTGGGGCCAGAGAGTGTGTATATGATGAGAACCCTAAGAATAGTCGAGGTCGCCCACTACTCCCCCCCCCTTACCCCCAATCCCCCAGCCCTTCGTCGACGCCAAACCGAAGCCAACCAGTCTACGCTCTCTGTCCTCTAACCTCTTTTTTTATAAAACCTATAGATATCACTCTCAACGCTCGTCCCTCCTGCATTGTCCTCCCGAAGAGAGTGTTTGTCACGTTCGTTCTGTCTAGTCCGTACCTCCCTCTCTTCTCCTCCCCCCCCCTCTCCTCCCCAGCACACACACCGTCCCTGCTCACGAAGCGCTGTACGGCAGTTAGTGGAAATGTTCGCTGTGGTATATAAACACTTGGCCAGCAGGGCCTGGCATTACACTCCCTCCCGCCGAAAGACCATGAGTTGTGTGAGTACAGTTCTTTCTCTGACGGCTGTTGCTTGTGAGTTGCAACTTAAACCTTGTTCATGCCTACCTGAGAACACCTAGCTTGAGACGTTCATGGGGACGCTGGAGGGGACAAACGGGCACTGTTTTTTTGGCAAGGGAAGGGGGAGTATTTTGGTTACGATGGTTCTTATCCATTCTATTTGTGGCGTGAGAGATGGTGTGTACTCACCTAGATGTGCTTGACGAATCAAGCGCCAAATTCTAATCCGTAGCGTCCGAGCAATTAGAAGTTTTATACATTGATTGTGTGTATAGTGAGAGTGTACTTACGTAGTTGTGCTTGTAGTGGTTGAGCCTCGGCTCTTTGATCCCGCCTCTAAACTGTCAATCAACCGGTGTACAGATTCCCGAACCTATGAGCTCTATCAATAGCTATCACTATCAGTTTCTATCAGTATCATTTTCTACATTTGACACACACACACACACACACACACACACACACACACACACACACACACACACACACACACACACACACACACACACACACACACACACACACACACACACACACACACACACACACACACACACACACACACACACACACACACACACACACACACACACACACACACACACACACACACACACACACACACACACACACACACACACACACACACACACACACACACACACACACACACACACACACACACACACACACACACACACACACACACACACACACACACACACACACACACACACACACACATGGCCAACGGCCATACCACGTTGAGAACACCGCTTCTCGTCCGATCAGCGAAGTTAAGCAACGTTGGGTTTGGTTAGTACTTGGATGGGTGACCGCCTGGGAACACCAAATGCTGTTGGCAATAATGTTTTTACAGGGGCCTCGTAGCCTGGTGGATAGCGCGCAGGATTCGTAATTCTGTGGCGCGGGTTCGATTCCCGCACGAGGCAGAAACAAATGGGCAAAGTTTCTTTCACCCTGAATGCCCCTGTTACCTAGCAGTAAATAGGTACCTGGGAGTTAGTCAGCTGTCACGGGCTGCTTCCTGGTGTGTGTGTGTGTGTGTGTGGTGTGGGAAAAAAAAAGTAGTTAGTAAACAGTTGATTGACAGTTGAGAGGCGGGCCGAAAGAGCAAAGCTCAACCCCCGTAAAAACACAACTAGTAAACACACAATGGGGGGCCTGATAGCTGAGTGAACAGCGCTCTAGACTCGCAATTCTAGTGCCGAGTTTTATCCCCGGTGATGGCAGAAATAAAATGGGCAGAGTTTCTTTCACCCTGATGATCTGTTACCTAGCAGTAAATAGGTACCTGGAAGTTAGATAGCTGTTACGGTCTCTCTTCCAGAGGTTGTGTGTGTGTTTGAAAAAAATTAGTAGTTAATAACGGTTGATTGACAGTTGAGAGGCAGGCCTAATGAGCAGAGCTCAACCCCCGTAAGCACAACGCACTACCCACATACACACACACATTCTTCCACAAGATGCAGCCCCTAGCAGCTACCAGGTACCTATTTACTGAGATGTGAACAGGGAGCATCACTTGAATGAAACTACTTATTTGTTTCTGTGTCAGTCGAAAACCGAATCCAGACCCTTACGATTAAGATCCCCAAACGCTGTCCACTCGGTCGCGAGGCCCTGTGTGTGTGGGCACACACGCGCGAGTGTGTGTGTGTACTTACCTTGTTTTACTTACACTTACTTACGTTTTACCTTCGGCTGTTTGATCTCGCACTTCAGTTACCAGTCAGCTGGTGTAAAAGCTCCTAATTTTATTGGTCTGAATCATATCTTTATCTTCAATTGTGTATGGAGTCTGCCTCCACCATCTCTTCTTAATGCATTCCATTTGTTCACTACTTTGAAACTGAACAAATTATTTGTAGTGTCTCTAGAGCTCATTTCGGTGCTAAGTTTTTATCTATGTTCTTTAGAGGATTTAAGAGGTATGTGAAATATGATTACATGGTAATCATATATCCGCTAATTCTGCTGTCTTCCAGTGACCTGAGGTTTAATTCCTGTAGCCTTTCCCTGTAACTCATACCTCTTAGGTCTGGTACTAGCCTAGCAATATCTTTCACATGTGGGATTCAGGAGGTAGGTTTTGTATGATATTATCTGCCAGATGTTCTTTCACTTCCTGATTCATAAAGGATTTTATCTCCCACTTGGTATTTTTATGTCTGGCCTCCTGCTCCCTACATCTAATTTCATTACTTTGCACTTACTTGAATTAAGCTCAAGTAGTCATTTGTTGGATGTTCACTCACATTGTCCCAGGTCATCTTGTTATCGTCCACTGTCTTAATCAGACTTATAATTTTTGCCTCATCAGCAAACATTGAGAAGAATGAGTCTAACTTTCTTGGAAGACTATTTACATATTTTAGAAACACGATAAGTCTGACTAATTAACCATATGGGACATTTACTTGTGATATCCCGCCACTCTGAAACCACCCATTTCAGGAATTCGCTATTTTATGTTGCTTAAATTCACCCGTATCAATTGTAGTACATTTCCTGCTACTCCTGCCTCCTTTTCCAACTTGCGCATCGTCTCTTATGGGGTACTGTGTCAAGGCTTTCTGACGATCCAAAAATGTACTGTCTACCCGTCTTTCTGTCTTGTCTTATTTTTGTCACCTAGCCATAGATGTGCTCCTTAACATGTGAGGCAAGATTTACCATCCCTGAACCTGTGATAGTGGTATGTTACGAAATGTGTTTCTCGAGATGTGCTATTAACCTTGTACACGAAATCTTTTCCATCTCCTTGCCTGATAAGCAGGTTAGGGACACTAGCCTTAGCTTAGTGTTATCACTCTTCTTGTATACTGGGACTACGTTAGCTGTCTTCTAAGTTTTTGGTAGGTTTCCTGTGTCGAGTGAGCTATTATATACTATAGTAAATGGCAAGCATAGTGCTACTACCACTTTTAGAATCCATGGTGAAATTGTTTTGTCTAACAGCCTTTGTCACGTGAAGTTCCAGTAGATGCTTTCTTACCTTATCTCTGGTAATAAAAAATTTATCCAGTGTTGTTTGGTTTAACACCATCTCTCAGTTCAGGCACTTCTCCTTCCTGTAGTTGGAAGACCTAGAATCTCTTGAGTTCTTCGCACACTATGTGATTCTCTGCGAGCCTATCTTTTCCTTTTCTCAGTTTTATCACCAGTTCCTTCACTGTTGTTTTCCCTCATGATGTGGTTGTGTAAGTACTTCATTCATAATGATGTACTGCCACAAATCTTAGCGAAGTGTTCAAAATCTCCTTACTGTAAGTTATACCTGCACATGACTGTAAAGTTGCCGCTCAGTTGGGTGGGTGTGAAGCATGATTAGTAACTTTGTGATTCACCATAGATGTAAATTGCCTTGTATATAGACTGTTGTGAGCCTCTTGTTGAATCACTTGTGATATAAAAAGATTATTGATTTGCTTATGTATTTGTGTACTAGGATGTATATGTGCATGTGTAAGTAATTTTATCAATTGTGTAACTAACTTCACAAGATACTCACTTGCTTAGCTGGGTTCTGTTTCTGAACCCATTATGTGCCTCTGTAACCCTTTCCACCACCGCCCACGGGATGGGTAAAGGGTGCATAATAAAGAAATGAATAATAAAAATATGGCTGTGAAGCAGTTTAGGTTGGGTAATGGTTTAATTTGCCATGTTTTTTATAATGTCTTTCTGCTTCTCTTTAAACACTTACTATACTATACTATACTTTAAACACACTATACTATACTATACTATACTATACTATACTATACTATACTATACTATACTATACTATACATATACAAAACGCTAAATTGTAATGCCAATCCTGATCTCAAAAGCTTCATAGAAGGTTGTAACAGAACCCATGAGCACCACACCAGAAATAAATACAGTTTTGATATTCCTAGAGTACGACTTAATCAAACCAGAAATGCTCTACAAATCAAGGGGCCCAGGATGTGGAATGACCTTCCCAACCATGTTAAAGACAGTACCTCTCTCAACCAGTTTAAGTTAAAAACGAAGCTATACCTAATAAATTCCCTGTAACCTACCTTACCCCTCTATTGTCAACCCATGTATGTTTTTTGTTTTTGTTTTTTGTTTTACAATTCAACGCTGTTTTAATGTAATTTTCTGTAATAATTTGCAATTGTATTTGTGCTGTTTTTTCAACAATGTTCCCCCCTCTTTTACCTCTATTTTTATTTGTACTCAACGCATTTTTTTATTTTTACCCATTAGTTTTAAGCTTTAGTCAGTAGTGTTTTTTCCTGCCCGAAACGCTTTGCGTAATAGTGGCTTTAGGCATTGTATGTACTAGCTCTTATCTATAAAGCCAACAAACTTTTTAAAATCTCTTTATGTATGTACCTTTGCCTAAATAAAAATTATTATACTTGGGCACCCATTCATGACATTCTCTGATTGTCCTCTGTTTTCTGGTGTTTAATTAGTAATGCATTTTTTCCATGCCTTTGTACTTCCTTGCTTTACTTCCTTGTATCTCTGATGAACCTTAAATCACTCCAATCGCATATGTTTGATTTTTTCCAATTTTATAACTATTTTTAAATTAATAATGAGCACTATGTGTTAAAACGTGTTTTCCTTCTTTACAATTCACTTTTTTCTTTTGGACCATGACAAACCTGTCTTCTGCCCCTGGACACTTCTACATGATGTAATCCATCATGGATTGTACAGTTCTTTCTCTAAGTTTCTTTTCTCGTCACTTCGTAATTTTATCTTAAATACACCAGTCTTTTGGCTTCTGGTCCCTTCCTTGAGCAGGTATATACTTCCAGATACTGAACCGTCAAAACACTGTGATCGCCCATTCCCATGGGAGCTTCCAGATTAATTTCCCTTATGTTTGACTCGTTCCGTGTGAATTCAAGACTAGCGGGCTCACCATAACCTCTCATTCTTGTGTCCCCTGACAAGTTGGCTTAAAATATTTATCATTGTAGTTTAGTTCTCCACATGTATGTGCACTCATGGGGTTCTTCGTTCTCCCAGTCTATCTTTCCATGGTTGAAGACTCTTGATTACGATTCGGGATCCACTGTCTATAGGCGAAAGAGGCTGCTTTTTTATTAAGTAGTAATTGCAGTAATATTTGTGTTATACTCCTGTCTATATAACTACCGCTACAATCTTTGGTCCTCCCATTAACATGGTGCCCGTAATGAAGACTCCGAACCCCATTCATTGTCCCAGAATAAGTCTCCTCGAAGCTCCATTCCTTTCTTACCAGCTGGAGGCTCTTCTGCCTTCCCTTCCTCCCCTCTTTTTCCTTACTAATAAAATTGTCCTTGGGAAACACTGCATCCGTTGTGTGTGCGTGTATTTACTATTTTTATCTGCCGAATCGAGCAATTAGATCTTGGACCCCGCCTTTCTAACCAATTAATTTTTCCTCAATTACGTTTAATATATATATATTTCTCTAACACACACACACACATCCCCAGGAAGCAGCCCGTTGCAGCTCTCTGACTCCCAGGTATCTATTTACTGCTAGGTGAACAGGGGTACCAGGGTGAAAGAAACACTGCCCATTTCTTTCCGCCTCCGCCGGGGATCGAACTCGGGCCCTTAGGACTACGACCCCAGAGCCCAGTCCACTCAGGCGCGAGGCCCCTAACCTAACCGACACACGCGGGACCGCGCGCGTGTGTATGTAGGGAGGAGGAGGGGGGGGGGAGGGGGAATTTTTGGGTTTGTTCGGATCTCGCATCCTAACTATTTTTTTTCCCTCCTGACGCCTTCCTCGCGTTTACAACCTGCACTGACTATTAACATTTCCTTCTATGCCTTTAACCTTGTAGGTTTCCAGTATGCACTTTTGTCAGTATGCACATCGGACTTCTTTTGTTCATTACAAGAAGACTTAAGTTCGAGGCCTGGGTGTGTTGGATTAAGTCCACCAGTAGCAGAACTTAAGCAATTCAGTATGTGAGCTAATAGAAGCCTGTTGTACAGGAAAAGAACTATTTTGCGATGGTCCTAATGATAATTCGCGAGATAATTAATACTGGATCATTTCTACATCTCTAGATATCAGGATATAGTGTTTTGCATTCCAGTCTCAGCAGAGAACCGACACAGTCCAGGACAAAGAGAATGATGTGGTCGAAGCATGCTGAAAATGTTACGTGTTTAGTTACCGGCTGTCGTATCTCTTACAGGTGGTCATCCTCGCCTGTCTGGCTGCCGCCGCCGTCGCCGCCCCTCAGGGAAATGAACGCCAAGTCGAGCTAATCAAGTACGAGCACAACTACTCCAGCCGTGGTAACTTCAATTACGCCATCGAGGCCGACAACGGCATCAGTGTGTCTGTCTCCGGCTCCCCGGGCACCGCCGGCCAGGTCAACAAGCGGGGCTTCTATACGTAAGATCACAGGGGAACAGAATTCATTTATCTCTTTTCATTTTTAAGAGCATTAGAATTTAGGAAATTGCTGAAGACCTATTGGACAATGCAAAGCACTTCGTATATGTATCTCCACTGAAACTCACTCATATATATATATATATATATATATATATATATATATATATATATATATATATATATATATATATATATATATATATATATATATATATATATATATATATATATATATATATATATATATATTTATGAGTGCTATTATATATATATATATATATATATATATATATATATATATATATATATATATATATGCAGAATAACTACATATGAAAAATAGAAAATGCTTAACGCGTTTTCGGCTAATTCGCCTTCATCAGAGCAAAGTAGAATGATGTGGTTATCAAAGTTGATTCTACTTTGCTCTGATGAAGGCGAATTAGCCGAAAACGCGTTAAGCATTTTCTATTTTTCATATGTGGTTATTCTGCATACTTGGATTAGTGTTTTCGTGATCATTGTTGCATATATATATATATATATATATATATATATATATATATATATATATATATATATATATATATATATATATATATATATATATATATATATATATATATATATATATATATATATATATATATATATATATATATATATATATATTTTTTTTTTTTTTTTTTTTTTTTTTGAGATATATACAAGAGTTGTTACATTCTTGTACAGCCACTAGTACGCGTAGCGTTTCGGGCAAGTCCTTAATCCTATGGTCCCTGGAATATGATCCCCTGCCGCGAAGAATCGTTTTTTCATCCAAGTACACATTTTACTGTTGCGTTAAACAGAGGCTACAGTTAAGGAATTGCGCCCAGTAAATCCTCCCCGGCCAGGATACGAACCCATGACATAGCGCTCGCGGAACGCCAGGCGAGTGTCTTACCACTACACCACGGAGACTGGTATATATATATATATATATATATATATATATATATATATATATATATATATATATATATATATATATATATATATATATATATATATATATATATATATATATATATATATATATATATATATATATATATATATATATATATATTTAATAGTGTAGGCTATTTCTACCCCCTCTGGCATCCCCTCGTCCTCCTAACCATTCCTCACTCCCCCGTCCTCTCGTCTTTCCAACCATTTTCGACTCCCCACCATTCCCCCCTCCCCCATTTCTTTGTCCTCCCTACCATCCCCCACTCCAGTGTCCCGTCGTCCTCCTAACCACTTCCCACTCCACCTTTCCCTCGTCCTTCCCACCATTTCTCACTCCCCTGTCCCCTCGTCTTCCCTCCCATGAAAATAAATGAAAATCTATGAAAATTCCATTTATTAATGAAATCGGAAACATTGATATGGAACCGTAACATATTTAGTAAAGCGTGTGTTGCTCTTACGTGCAACAGATGGCGCTGTTTCTTAAAAAAAGGATGTCTTTACCTGTCACAGGTGTGGCATCTATACTTATACTTACAAAATGAATAGTATTTTAAACAACAGCTCAATTCCAACGCAATGTCACACAAAATAATTAAATCAAAATGAAAATAAATCGAAATCTATGGAAATTCAATTTATCAATGAAATTGGAAACATTGAAATGGAATAGTAACATATTTAGTATAACGTGTGTTGCTCTTACATGCAACAGATGGTGCTGTTAAAAAAAACTGTTTTTACCTGTCACAGATGTGACATCTATATAATAGTTATAAAAACATGTGCATATTCGAATGGAACGTAGTGTCAAAATTTCAAAGCTATTGGTGAAGAACTTATAGAGATTACAGCATGTGTTGCAGTTACATCCAACAGATGGCGCTGTTTTCCAAAACGAACATGTTCTTACCTGTCACAGGTGTGGCATGTATATAGTTGGTGTATCAAACCTCAAACACGTGTGTGTCCGAATAAAACTTTGTGTCAAAATTTCAAAGCAATCGGTAAGCAGGTTTCAGAGATTTTCCTCACATGAAAAACACTGTTTAAAAACATGTTTTTACCTGTCACAGACGTGACACCTATACAGTAGGTACAAAAAAACACGCGTGTATTTGAATGGAACGTTGTGTAAAAATTTCAAAGTAATCGGTGAAGAACTTTCAGAGATTAGCGATTTTGAACAAAATGAACTCCTTTTTATTTATATAGATTTGCGTCTATTCAACAGCATGAACATGTTTGAACTTTATTGTCACTTTTAAATCAGTTTTAAACTTATTAAATTTATAAATCAATGTTTGTTTATAATTTTTTACCATGTTAATGGACATTATCCATGCTTTCCTGCTTTCTCAGGTACATCCTCGAAGACGGGACTCCGTATCAGGTTCACTTCATCGCCGACGAAAATGGCTTCCGGCTAGAGTCCGACCTCACCAACAGGCTGAAATCTCGGTCACTTATTGAGACCCCAGCCGGGGCCCGACGCTCTCCAACACCTTTACTTCCTTCCATAACCAACACGCTCACAGCCGACTCCCAAGACGTTCCGAAACCCGTGCTGGAAGACAATGAACCAGAACCCGTGCTGGAGGTCGATGTACCAGAACCCGTGCTGAAAGTCGATGTACCAGAACCCGTGCTGGAAGTCGATGTACCAGAACCCGTACTGGAAGACAATGTACCAAACCCCGTGGTAAAGGTCGATGTACCAGAACCCGTGCTGGAAGTCGATGTACCAGAACCCGTACTGGAAGACAATGTACCAAAACCCGTGGTAAAGGCCGATGTACCAGAACCCGTGCTGGAAGTCGATGTACCAGAACCCGTGCTGGAAGTCGATGTACCAGAACTCGTGCTGGAAGTCGATGTACCAGAACCCGTGCTGGAAGACGAGGGCATTTTACCCAGTCTGCTGTAACCCAGTTCGAACTCATAAACAATAGCCAAATGCGCATTAATCCAGCAACCATTCCCTTGTTTGGGTAGACGGGGCTAAGATCGTCGTCGCCTCTCAACAGCAACAACAACAACAACCCAATGTTTATGAATGAAAGCACTTTACACCTGATACACAGCTGATTACATTTGAACTTCCTTGAACAGAGCTTCGTTAACTTCCTTCATTCGAACCTTGCCTCTTTAAATGTTTCACGTATGTACTGTATTTGCAAATACTTATTAACAGCATAAAAAAATGTAACCCAGACATAACTACGCACAAAATTCTAATATATAATAATATTTACTTATACCTGATTGTTTTTATAACTACACTGTACGTTAAAATGGGAACGGTCGCAGCTTGGATGAGCTAGGTCTGCGGATGGTTTGCTTACATGCATGGCATTCATTATGAGATGCTTCGCCATCTCCCTCCGTGCATGTCTCAGTATTTACTGAGTCTGTATAATCGTGTCTGGGAGTCGTCGTCAGTCCCTGAGGACTGACTCGATGCCATTGTCCTACCAGTTCGGAAACCAAGGTCTCTTGGGACATCCCTTAAGGACTTCTGCCCTATTGCCCCCACGAGTTGTGTCAACAACTCGTGGGGCAACACGAGTTGAGTCAACAACACGGCAACAACCTCTGTTGTTGCCGTCCTTTTTGACTTGTAAAAGGCTTATGACATCACTTGGCGGTATCATATTCTTTCCAAACTTCATTCTTTTGGCCATCGTGGTAATCCCCCTCTTTTTCTCCAAAGCTTCCTCTCTCGTCGTTCCTTTCGAATGAGGCTCAGTGCCACTCTCTCTGCCTTTTTTCGGCAATACGAGGGTGTGCCCCAAGGTAGTGTTCTGAGCACTGCTCTTTTTCTGGTTGCCCTTAATGGTATTCTTTCCTCTCTTCCTTCTGGCATCTTCTCCGCTCTCTATGTCGACGATCTTACCCTTTGCTGTCGGGGTGATGATTCGCCTCTCCTTCAACGGCGGCTTCAACTTGCGATTGGTGCCGTGTCGTCTTGGGCCACCAATCATGGCTTCAGGTTTTCTACGTCTAAGACTTGTGCTATGACTTTTACTCGGAACGTGTCTTTCTTCGTCCCTCTTTGTCGCTTTATGGTCAACCCCTTGTGTACAAGGATTCCGGTAAACTTTTGAGATTAATCTTTGACACTCGTTTGCCTTGGTCGGCACATATCTCTTACCTACGAGTTGAATGCTCTGAGGCCCTTACCCTCCTTAAGGTTTTGTCCCATACTTCTTGGGGAGCGGATAGGCGCACTCACTCCTCGCTTCACATTCCTCTCTCGTCCTGTCTAAACTCGACTGTGGTTGCCCTGCTTACTCGTCTGCTTCTCCTTCTACTCTTCGCCGTCTTGATGCTTTGCACAATGCTGGGTTGCGCCTCAGCTCTGGTGCTTTTCGTTTGACTTCAGCCCTCAGCTTGTACGTTGACACTGGCTTCCTATCTCTCCGGGACCGCCGTGATTGCTATTGTTTTTCGCTACCTTGTGCGATCCTTACAACATCGTTCTTCTCGCCTCTGTCGTGCTTTAACTTTTACCCCTCTTCTAGTTCCTGTTCCTCTTCACCACCTCCCTTTTTCTGTCCGGTTATCTCACTTACAGGATTCTTTTTCAGTTTGTATTTCTAACATTTCTCCTCGTATTGTTCCTTCCTTTTCCCCGTGGAGAGTCCCCCTTCCGAAGTTTTGTACATCCTTGACCCCACATCACTAAAGCTTTTACCTCTCCTACGGTTCTGAAACACCTTTTCCTTGAGCAGTTTTCTTCGCACTCCTGCTCCCTTTCCATCTTCACCGATGGGTCTAAGTCTGCGGACGGTGTAGGCTACTCTGTTTATTTTCCTGACCACACTTATATGTGTCGCTTACCTCTGGAGATTAGCATCTTCACAGCGGAACTTTATGCTATTCTCTATGCTCTTCGTCTCCTGCTTTCTCGTTGTCAATCCTCCTTTGTAATTGTCGTTGACTCTCGTAGTGCCCACATGGCTCTCGGATCCTTTAATCCGGTCCATCCAGTAAATCCAGTGGTCGTCGAGATTCAACATTGGCTATTTCTTATTTCCAGTAAATTTAGTCAGTTGAGTTTTGCTGGGTTCCCAGCCATATTGGTGTCTCTTTAAATGAGATTGCAGACGCTCATTTGTCCCATCTCCCATAAAGCTATTCCTAATTCTGACTTTTACTCAGTAATTCATTCCTCCACCCTTAACCGTTGGCAGGATTGTTGGTCTTCTGTTACTGGTAACAAACTACTTACTCTTAAGAGTCGTGTGTCCTGATGACCTTCCTCCTGCCACCGTAACCGGCGATGGAAAACGGCTCTGGCATGGTTGCGTATTGGCCATACACGCTTGACTCACGGTCACATAATAGAGTGCCGTTCTGCTCCTTATTGTTCAAATTGAATTGTCCCTCTTACGGTCGTGCATATCTTTGTTGAATGTCCTGACTTACAAGATGAGCGTGTGTCTTGCTTTCCGACCATCCCTCGTGGTCACTTATCCCTCGATAGAATTCTTGGTGAATTGGATCGTTCGCCTTATGCTTTTTGATTATCGTATTGGCATCCTTGGTGATATTTAGCGCCCTCTGATTATCCCGCACATTTGATGATGCTACATAGCCTTCCCGGGTTGGTGCCTTCTTCTGATAATTACTTACTTACTTGCTGACTTGCACCTTCATACAGATATATATATATATATGGTTTGGTTGTGGGAAGAGATTATATGTTCCTTAATGGAGCCCTGTTGCTTATGCATCGTTAAACGCCTGGAAAGAGATGCTGTTGTCTTGCCTATATACTGGGTTTTTTGAGGCTTACAGTCCCCAAGAGGGCATTTGAAGGCATAGACGACGTTGGTCTCTTTTAAGCGTTCTGCTTTGTGTCTGGAGAGTTTTTCATGAGTAGGTTGGCCGTTTTTTTTTTTTGTAAATCGTCAATTGTATCTTCTGTTATACAAGAAGATACAATTGACGTTATGTTATGTTATCTGTGTGTGTGTTCTCTGTAAACTGTAACATTGCAATAAAATAAAATAAAACATAACAAAATATATATATAAAATAATAGGGGTGGTAGGAGAGGAAAAGTTTAAAGTGTTCAGTGAGAATCCACAAGGTCTGCTCTGAATACTCTTTATTTTCTTCTTCGAGGATGTGGGTCCCTACAATTGCACCAATTGCAAGGTGGAACCCCTAGTATATATATATATATATATATATATATATATATATATATATATATATATATATATATATATATATATATATATATATATATATATATATATATATATATATATATATAAAGCATGACATTGATGTGTTACAATAATTAATTACATCGATATTTATGTTTTTAAGTGACATAAATTCTGAGAGACCGCAAGCATTGTTTGGGATATATGGAATACGAATGAATTTCACCTTTCGGTATGTATACACTGAGAGTTTACGTCATTTCTGAATTACGGTATATTATTCAAGTGCTTTTATTGAGTTAACGCTATTTTGTCTAAATGTGTTTTAATGGTATCTAAAACAGTTATGCATCATTGTCACTTGTGTCATCATTATTTTCTAACGAATATAATTCCCGGGTGAGGTTTTGGTGCTGGAAAAAATGTGGTGGAAGTTAGGGGGGGACGTGTGGGTGGGGGTGTGGGTGGGGGTGTGGGTGGGGTTGTGAGTGGGGTTGGGGGTGTGGTTGGGGGTGGGGTTAGGGGTGGGGTTGGGGTCAAGGTCGGGGGCCTTGTTGGTGCTAGTGTAGGTGGTAAATGAAGAAGCCTCAACAGCTCGTCCAAGTCGGGTCGGAAGCCGTTCTCGTCGGCGATGAAGGGGACCCGTACTGGAGTCCCGTCGTCGAGGACGTACCTGGGGAAGAAGGACAAAGCAAACAAGTCCATTTGAATGTTATATACATAGCAGGCCAGGCCCTTGTGGGCTTCCATACAAGCTGAACATCTTTAAATGTAAGTTAAAAAATGACGAGATTCATACCTGGCGGACGCGTGTAGGAGGGTTGGTTGGCTACTGAGCCTTTACCCAGTGACATCCTGGCGTTACCGTGCCTAGCCTTCACAAGGGGCTATGTGAGCATCCTGGGATAGGGCAAGAGTGGCAGGAAGTGCCTAGAGTAGACCATCTCAACAAAAACGAATCAAATAATTGGGTTTACAGTGTGGAATCTAACTGGAGTGAGGGTCACGCCGGCACCCTATGGGGATCCCACAGTGAACTCTGTGTGAGTTCACACAGTCAGTCGACTGCATATATATATATATATATATATATATATATATATATATATATATATATATATATATATATATATATATATATATATATATATATATATATATATATATATATATATTAGGGGTACCACCACTGGTTTAATTAAAGGGACCCACATCCTCGAAGAAGAAAATAAATAAATATATATATATATATATATATATATATATATATATATATATATATATATATATATATATATATATATATATATATATATATATATATATATATATATATAATCTATATATTAAAATCACTAAAAAACTTGGACCCAACTAAGACTCGAACCTCATCCCCTGGCGTACACAGTACTAAAACCTCTTCACCAGCGATCGCTTATAAGGGTTTGGAAGTTATGGATCTCGTTATATGAGCTCCATGACTGACAAACCCCTGGCGACTATCGGGGTGATATTTCGGAAAAAGTTTTACATCAAATCCTGGCGCCTGCACGGATTGCTCACAAATGAGAAAGAAAGCTTGAATGGTCCCCAAGCCATAAATTACTGAGAGCTGTTTGATCCGATCAGGACTTGATACTGCACAAACAGAGTTCACCGCTTCCCCTACACCCCTTCCCCCCTACCTTCCATGGCATACCATACACAGTACTGAAACCACTTCACCAATTTAATTTTTTTCTTTATTATGCACCCCATACCCATCCCGTGGGCGGTGGTGTAAAGGATTACAGAGGCACATAATCGGTTCAGGAACTGAACCCTCTAGTTCGTTTAGCTAAGCAAATAACAATGTTTGACGCTAGTTACAAAATTATTAATGTTGTATACACATGTACACACTCTCTTACATACATGTACATATATATATACGTATACATATACACATACACATACATATCTAATCACCCACACAAATGCACACATCAATAATCTTTGTGACACAAGTGATCAACAAGAGGCTCACAACAGTCACTATACAAGGCACTTTACATCTATGGTGAGTCACACAGTTACTAGT